ATGTAGAGAGAGAGAGTAAATTCACTAAATTATTACATACATTTTTTTTCTCTGTGTTGCTCTTTTTTCTTCTTTTTCCTTTTCTTTATTTTACATTTTTTTCTCCTACATTCTCTCTCTCTCTCTCTCTCTCTCTCTCTCTCTCTCTCTCTCTCTCTCTCTCTCTCTCTCTCTCTCTCTCTCCCCCTGGGTTCGGGGTATTCATATTAATCCAAATGCATTTTTAATATCAATTTCAGCATTGGTTCTGATATCATCATCGGCTTCATTCCAAACTGGAAGTCCCCCATTTGGTCTACCGTGATATGTGTAATTACTAAGATCCGATCTTTAATAATATGTCCGCAATAACTTAATTTCCCCCGGTATCGCAATGGCCATTCCTTTCGGTCAAAAAAGGTATTTCCAACCGGCATTTTCGTTCGATTTGAATACTGGTCATCCGACTCAATTCTAAGAAACCTAAAGTTATTATTAACATATATTAACCCAGATATATACATAAATACATTTCTATATATTTATATATATACATATATATATAAATATATATATATAATATATATATATATATATATATATATATATATATATATATATATATATATAAATAAATATATATACACACATACATATATATATACATACATATATATATATATATATATATATATATATATATATATATATATATATATATATATATATATATATATATATATATTCCGGAAATGACATCTATATTCTATCACAGATCAGAAAATAAATAGCTCTTGTGTGACAAAGCCTTGGTTGGGGACAGGAAATCGTTATAAAAATATATAAATGGTAAATCTCCAGGAAAACAAAAGCTTCATGTGACGGTGCATCTCCGAAAGGAAAATAAAGTGCACACATATGTAGGCATATATACGATGTGTGTACCTACCTACAAGCATACATGTATATATGAATATACATTAATGCATATATACATACGTATGTTTATATATATATATATATATATATATATATATATATATATATATATATATATATATATATATATATATATATATATATGTAAGTATGCATGCATGTATGTATCTATAACATGTCACTTATAAATACCCACAAAAAAGAAAAGGGAAATAACAAAGGCACATAAAATAATTCTTTCAAAAGTATTTTGTTTCATATGATAAAAGATGGAACAGTAAATGTAAACGCTAAAAAAATACAAGGAAATAACCAAGAGAGTAAACCTTCCACGTAAAATCTAAATTGCTTTAGAAGATTATGTGCTATTTTGGCCGCAACTTTTGACATAAAGACCCGAACTTAGACGGGGCATCGCGCCCGTCTTCATCCCGGCGACTTTTTGTAAGGCTCCTCTCTCTCTCTCTCTCTCTCTCTCTCTCTCTCTCTCTCTCTCTCTCTCTCTCTCTCTCTCTCTCTCTCTCTCTCTCTCTCTCTCTCTCTCTCTCCCTCTCTTCCAATCTGTCGCCTTCGAGTGATAGACTGTCCTTCCCTTTGTAATAGACAGCTGCTCATCCTAACAAGATTGACATCCCCTACAACAACCCTATCCTCTCTCTCTATCTCTCTCTCTGTATGTCATCATGTATGTCGCTCTCCACTTTGCCACAGGAACCACCTCCACCTCCTCCTCGACGCCCAAGTCTTCCAGTGCATTAAGTCATCGTTCTTCACCTCCCCCTCCACCTCCACCACCACTTCCTCCGCCCCTTAGATCGGTCCTTGTGTTCAAAAACCTGTTGTTCTTCAGGGATGGGCGTGAGTTATATCCTTCCCCCGCGTGCTGGTCTGTCACTCCCTTCAATCTTAATGAATAAAGTCTTAAAAGTTTTTTTTTGTCCCTTATTGTTTACATGCTACACAATAGCTTCTTTGGAATGAATTAAGCCTACTGTTCATTGAATTGTCCCATTGTGTTTCTCCGCTCATAACTCACTCCTTCAAGTATCTAAAGCTTTACGGAACAAAACTATCATTGCACAAAGAAGCGAGTAAAAAAAAATAATAATAATTATCAAAGACTCCGGAGCAAAAGCCAGATTCGAAACAATTAGATCATCGCCAGAACAGAACAGAACAGAACAGCCTCAAGAACCCATTGACATGCATTGTCTTCCTCCTCATGCCTTCGCGAGAAAGAACTTCCCCCACCGGGTTGCTTGACACAAAGAAGTGTTCCAAGATTGCACACACAAAAAAGGATAATAAGAAGGGAAAACTATAAAATAAAAGAAAATAAATACACAACACACTGAGATAACAAAAGCTGTTCTGATGACGCCACGTTAAGTGTTAAGAGACCCATTTGTTTGTATTGGTAATAAAAAGACCTGAAGAAGAGAGAAGACTTTTTCTTATCAGACTGGCAGAGACTGACGGCTGTCATGGCAGCGAGGGCAAGAGAATGGTAGGGAAATCACCAAGGACAATTTTCCTAGATGCAAAATACAACTGGACTGTAATATGCGTGCATGCGGCCTGACTAGAATTTACCGGATAAATTTCATTTCACTGAATTTAACCTGAGCACATGCTTTAAAACTGAGTTGATATACTGTCACTATAAAACTGCCATATATAAATTATAATTTACATTTCTATTTAATATATGTTATGAGGCCTAATCTACAGACATTCACTTCCTTATGATTAAGTTTTCCACCAATACAAATCCTAACTCTTGTCTTTGTGAAAAGACTTTTCACAGCCACTATATAAAAATAATAATGACATAAAACGAAATATAAAAAAATCACAAGCACATTTAACACGACACAAAGAAGCACACTAAACAAAGCATAGAGTGCAGCTGTCAAACACTAACAACACTCACAACAACTACAATGGTGTTACATACAACTTCTGCACAACAAAGAGATGCTTGTAATTATAAGCACAATTTCACATGTCGCAGACGAATGAAATTTATCAACATTCAGAACACTGATCTTAACGAAACGCTACTTATGTTTTCACATCTGAGTATTGCACTATCAACAGCGAACATTTGTCAACACCTGTTCCCGACAGCGGAGCACAGGTGTTTCGTGTACACATCTGTCTTACTCAACCACGCTATAGTATTTTTCTATTCTAACACACCATCAAGAATCACGGATGCCCTGTAATTGTGTACTGAAAAATACATAGTACATGGATTTTGGTTTGATGGCTTGCTCTTAGCCTTGAATTCCTACTTTCGATACGGTTCCTCGAAAAAATGCAAATGTTATTTTGACGCCAAACATTTTTTCCCTAGCGACTCCTTTCATAATTGCAATCGACACTTGTCCCTACCCTGGCTGTTGACAAACCTCTTGATATTTTCTCCCGGACTGCAAAGAACAACACTCGCGGCACAGACTGTTTCTAAGTAACAACACTCTAGCGATAAATGAACTATCGTTACTTTCTTCTTCCTCTCTCTCCACCACGGAAAATATTTGAGCCATCTTTTCACTTCCGTTTTGAGTTTTTGAGAAGGACTTGTGTTTTTTCCCCTCCCCCGTTGCGATGAGGGAGGGGAAAATCTACCAGCTAGCTCAAGTAGAACTCCCCATGCCTTCTCCCCCAACAGCTATCATAAAAGTGGAAAAATAGGGGGGAGGAGGGGGAAGGACGGAAGACTCGCCTAATTAAATGAATGCATGTTTTCCTCAACAACTTTTCCATTACATAAAATGAAACGGGCCAGTAGGAAATTCTCATTCTGTAGTCTGCAGTAAGCTTCACTCCATTAGCTAATTACCGAGTGGACCCGCTCTTAACCCGTTTACATGAGGATAGAGGAGAGAGGGAGAGTGAAGGAGAGGGAGAGGAGGAGGGAGGGAAAGGAAGGAAGGAGGGGGCGAGGTGTCTATCATTCCTGGAACTAAGTCTCAAAAAATCCAACGCCGACTTTCAAGATTGACAAGTTCGGTGAAGACACGCCAAGGAAATAACTAAAAAAAAGAAAGAAAATATAACGTTTTTCTTCCTAATTTCCTTCCGAACCCATACGAATGACGGACCTAGAGCAAAATAAAGAGGAAAAGAAAAGAAGTAAAGTGCCAAGAACGGCATTACGAAGAGAGAGAGAAAAAAAATCTCTGACCTAGCGAAGGATACTGTGCGCCAAAAAGTAAAGTCCGTAGACTGGCGCTGTGAGATGACTGGCTAACCTATCGCAGTTTCCGGTGTAGGAGAGTTCTCCCTTCGCCCGAGACTTTTGTGCTTTTCTCCAACGCCGCACTGGAGCATCTTCGCTAAAAACAAGTCGGGGGATTTGTCCGGAGGGGAAGTGTTGTCCCCCGCAGGATGGCCCCGGCGGCCCGAACCCGATCGGCATTTTTGGGGACTTTGCATTTTTTCTCGCCCGGCGTTGGCGCGAGAGAACTACTGTGAAATGAAGACTAAAACTCCATTTTATTTGCTGGAGATTTTGTAGAGTGTATTTATTTACTCATCGTCGGCAGGTCGGTCTCACTAATGTAAACTGCACTTCCACATGTACAAATTAAGAACAATTAATCACCGCTGTGTCAAAACAACCGGACACTGACATTCATCCCGGGTCCTCATTATCATAAAGTTCTCGATCACTGAAATTTATCCTTATTTGTGAAATATAATTTGAGAAAGAGCGAGGAAACTGCAAAGCGAGTGAAAACATAGAAATATTGAGACTTGCATTTTTTCAACGGTACAGATGATGTGAATTCGTATCACTGAGCTGACTGACTATCGGCGAGGACTGAGTCGAGATTTGCACAAGTCCCAAAAATTTACATTTTCGCTTCCGCACCGGAGTCGGCACACGGAGGCCCGAAGAGCCACCGGATGTCGTTGGCACTTGGGCACCAGAGGCGGACGCCCTCCGCGCCCGACTCGACACGCACCAGCGCCGCACTAGAGTACACACACGAAACACACTGCTACATACACCCTCGCTGCTGACAAGTGCCTAACTGAGTCAAAGTGCAAAGTGCCACTGGCTGCCTTACCTGTGGTCCACATCGTCCCTGGCCTGGCCGTGCCTCATACTCAAGCCGAGGCTGGGCTGGGTACGTGAGTGCACGCCCCTCTCACAAAGTTCCTGACTCGCGTCTCGTCTTCTCTTGTTCTGCTGGTATGTGCGTGGCCTCGCCCCCGTGCCCGGCCGTGCCACTGGGTAGGCTGCACGTGCCTGGCCCGTCACTAGCACCATGCGCCACAGCACCACACTGTGCGGCAACAACCACCACTCCACATGCACAAGTATCACTGGCGTGGCACCTCCGCGGCCGCCACCCACCGTCTGCACATAGTAATGACGCCTCGGCGAGAATTAGTAGGTAAATGTGGCGGCGAGTATGCGCGGGCTGGCCCACCACCGCCACCTCCCGTGGGGGGGGCGCCCATATGGAAATGAGAGGCGCAGGGGGAAGCGCCCCGCGACACCACACAACTCCTCGGCCAACACTGAGCACACGGCTGCCGTCTCGCTCTCCCTCGCGGCCGACCACTGCTCGCGCTACTCCTACGGAACTTCACACGAGCCGCTACACCTCTACTCTACAGTGTTCCAGACACGTTCCTCAGCGAGCACCGAGCGCGGACTGTCATGCGGCCGCTCCGAGTAACTGCGGCGGACTGGAGGCGGCGGACCCGCTCCGACCCCGCTGCTAATTACCGCCGCCTCGACCAATGAGCGGCCGCCGCCCACCCCTGGCCCCGCCCCCCGCGCCGCCCAGCCACGCCCCCCTCCGCGGTATGCAAACGAGGCTCTTAGCGGCGGCGACCATCACCCCGTCGCCGCCGCTGCCACTGTCGCCCCAGAAGCCACGGCCGCCACCAGCGCCGCCCGGACCACCCAGGCGCCGCCGCCCCTCCAGCGCCTCGCACCGGACTTTACGGCATCATAAATCCCCACTCCTCCAGGGGCAACAGGCGCCGCGGCGGCCACCTCGCGCCCTCGCCAACACCTCCTGCAACACCTTCTCCTGGCCGGCCGCGTGCCGCCACCAGCCCTCGTGGCCACACTTGGCCCAGCACCCGGGCCATATTTCTCCGTTCTCCTCCCCATTTCTCTTCTCCACGCTCCGTAGAAGGGAGATGGACGGAGGAGGCGAGGGAGGGAGAGGAAGGTGCAGACCCTGTGCTTGAAAGAGTGTTTGCTTTTATTTGCTTTGGCGGTTTCTCCCGTTTGGTTTATTTACATCAACTTTTGGGCGATTGGAGACTTTGTTTCATCCCGATTTACGGCACAGATTTGACAAAGAGCGACGGAAACATCGCAATAAGTGCAACCGATTTCCTTTACGTTTTAATCTTTATTATCCATAGTCAATCATTACCATTTTATAGACATTCCACATTGCATAAGTTATTTGTGTTTCTTTTCCATAGCACGCTAAAGATTGATACACTTCCACGTCTAGAACAAACATTAACACAAGGAAATGTAATTAAGAATTTAACATATAATAACATTAACCACAGCTTACCTCCCTCATCACCCAATGACAAACTTCGACCACAAAGTGAACATATTTTACAATATCTCGCGCTTTTGGGTAAGAATACTTAAACAGAAAATAGTATTTAAGGACACATATACTTTTCATGTATTTTTTGGGAAACACTTTTATACAGTTAAAAAAAAAACAAAAAACTTAGCCCGTGACAGTTTCTACATTATAAAATTTCCGGACACATAGGTGAAATTATACCTATATACGTAGCCTATATATATGTTAATCTGTGGCTTAACATTTGCAATCAAAATTCAATAAAACAGTTTTTTTTATGAATTACTGAAAGTTGACGTAACAATAAAGACTAAATAAATAAATATAACAAGTTACCATGTAACTCTTTCAAGTGTTCGGTATATCGCTCTGTTCTGCCTTAATTAATAAAATTTTATGTATTATGGACTCTATTTTTTCTAACATAACACTGTATTTCACTTTGGTTTATTTTTTGACTTAGGTTTTTATTTGAAAGTATTTATTTCACGATTCTAATTTCTGTATAAATTCTGCGCATATTTTGTACTTGCCTTTTTACACAAAATTCGGTAATTTACATCAATGATATATATTAACCTACGGCTTATACTTTAATCATATGCTATTTACTATTATTATTATTATTATAATTATTATTACTTATACTACTACTACTAATATTATTATCATTATAATTATTATTTTTCTCTCCATCATCATTATCTTTTCTGGAAAGAAACTTTTCATAATTCTTGTTAGTTTTATTATGGTATTTTCACCATCGTTCTTTAATTCAAAATCATTAATGTCATCTATTAATATTACTAACATCAAGAGGATAATGATGATAAGGATAATGGTAATAATATTACTAATGATAATAAAAATAATAACATAATTATTAATATTATTATCATTATTATCATCTTTAATATTACTACTAATGATGATAATAACAAAATTAATAGTGATGATAATAGTAACAGTAATAATAAAAATAAATGATGATAACGATAATAATAATAATAAATTATGATAATAATAATAATAAAATGATAACGATAAGGATACAGCTATTTATACGAATGACGATGATAATTTTCAATAATATTCAAACTCTTCCTTCAATTAATTCGTTTTTGTTTGCATTACATCATAATTGGTAATCAATAACATTAATAGCAACATCAGTAATTTTTTTTACTAATATTAAGCTTGTTTTTGTTATGCTAATGGTATGCCTCAAATTGTATAGTAATTGTGAAAGTTGACATGTATTTGTCATAATGTCATTGTTTTTGTTCGGTACTGTTATTATTATGACATCTGTCAATATTTTCGTGATAATAATGACTGTATCGCAATTTCGTCTTATCACTTTGATTAATCGAATCTAATATCAAACAATAGTAATAATGACAATGATATTTATTTTAATGATAATAATAATAGTGATGATGAGGGCGATGCTACTACTACAACTAATAAAAATAATAATAACTATAATAATAATAACAGTAATAACATTAATAATACTACTACTAATAACGATGATGACGGGGATGATAATAATGATAATAAAAATTTAATAATAATAATACCAATACCAATAATAATAATAATAA